GCCGATACTGTTTTTGTGTTCATGTATGGTGTTGCCTCACCACACGAGAGCAAGTGCAACCTATCAATGCCGGCCTTGGCCAAGGCGGTTGGTATCGGCAACAAGAAGAAAGTGACCCGACAGCATGGCAACAACCTGCAATTTGCTTTTTCTGTTTCAGGAGTATCTCAAGCAACACTCCTGTGAAGTGGTTGTTGCTTTGTGGCAGGTTGGTGGAACCACGATCGCAATTCCTCGAAAAAGCGCAGGGCTGATGATGAAAGCAGCTCGGTTTCAATTCCGTTGACTGGGGTTGCGACTTGTGCGCACTGCACATCGGGTATTACACGTACAGCTTTTCTTTCCTTCCCAGTGTGACGTGCTAAGATTAAGATGGGCACAACTATGGTCGCATATTCATCGTCACCAATCAAGTACTCGTGAGGTCTCCTTGCACGTTTGAGGCTCTACCCCTGAACCCTAAGCTTTGAACCTGGGGTCCTATACTTCAGACCATAAACTTTCAAGCCAAACCCCTCCAGACTCAAAGCCCGTAGCCCTCAACTCACAACCCGGCATCGTGCTTTGTTACGGTTGCTCAAACATAAAAAGTTCGACTGTAGAGCGCGGAATATTTTTCAACATCATCCCATTTGCGCTACTACTTTTATATTTTGCCCCCAAGACCTTATTCTAGTGATGAAATGCCCGTATATTCGAACCTTTGCAATATCCCTCATAGAACCCTTTAAAGGAAACCTGTTCCATTATCGAGGCCCTTATGCCATCACACTGAAGCCGAGGCATCCAGAGCTCCTTCGGTTGTTTTAAAAGTTACAAAGTCTTGGTCTTCTGGGTTAGTGTTCAGGGTTTGAGGGTTTGGGGCTTTAAGTTCAGTTTTCGACCGACGGGATAGGGTGTAACAGGGCAAAAGCATAAGGAGGCAGTAAGGGTAACAGGGCTCAGGCGTTTCGGAGCAGTGTTTTTTGTCGTCAGGCCCGGCCCTGTTGCTTCGACCAGAGTCCTTCCCGGATTATGCGGCGTCGGTTCAGGGTATAGCCTTAAGAAATTCAGTATGCAGTGTTGAAGGGTTTGGGGTTCAGGAATACGAGGCCGAGGACGTGGTATTTTTGCAACCTTGTAAATCTCTGCAAAACTTTTTTTTTAGTCATTCAGGCTATTCCCTTGATTTTAAGGGCTCCCTCAGTTGCAACCGGGGTGTCCTTTCTTGCATTTCCTGAAAGGGGAACAACAAGGAACTTGCACCTGCGTCATGCAGGCGGTCTTGGGGAACAGGGCGCAGGGTTTCTGTGTAAAGTTGGGTTCAGGGTTGTACGGGCCCTTGGCGGCTTTCGAGAGGACTGTTTTTGTACTGACTCTTGAAAGTTTTATAGAAAGTCTCTTGAAAATGGAAGTTCGAGCCCCGAAGCTGTGTTGCTGGCGGGTTGTGGGCTTCGTTTCATAATTAGTTTGTTCGATTGATCAGGGCCTTTTTCACATCGTGGAGGCTCCTGAATCTTGCTTGATAGACGTATCTGGTGGAGCATGCGTGGGTATCGCAGTGTTCCTCCTTCTGGGGAAGAGAGAGCCTGTGGCCTTTGGTCTTAGAAGTTCAATTTGCAGCCTCTCAGCTTCTGAGCTCCGCGGGGTTACGGTTATGTGGAGTTTAGGGGTTTTGATCTGAGGTTCGTTCATCGATTCTGAATGTCGAAGAGCTGGCAAATTTCTTGCAGCTGCTTGACAAGGTGCGGATGTGCGAATCTGTGCTGGAATGTTGGAGGGCATATTGCCGGTGCGATTGTTGGATGCGTGATGTTAAGCCACTTTGTTTATCGCGCGGACGGGGGTTTTAGTTGAAGCTCTCTGGTCCCTACACCGACCCGAAAGCCTTACGCGGGCTTGCGGCAGGGGACTGGACGTTGCGGTACGAATCCCGGGGCTGCTCGGCTGGTGCGCGGCGAAGATCGCCTCGGCCCAAAATCTGGGCTGCTTAGTGCAACTGCCTTGTTCGCTTCACCAGGGATGTACAACAGAAATTTAGATTCCTGCCTGTCCTGGCATGGCGGCTGGTCTCGCGAAGTACTTCAAATCCGCATGGCGTAGATAACATACCAGATACCAGCCATGCTGCAGTGGTTTCAGGAATTTTCAAGCATGTGGCGTGAGCTTGGACAAAGATCCGAGCTGGCAGTCGTCGGATCCCACAGACGTGCAAACAGTAGACAAGGGCGCTTGCTGGATACTGCTTGTAATGGCAACTGCAAGCGCGCTTAATACCACAGCAACAAGAGCTGCCGAAGAATTAGGGAGTGGAGCTGAGACTGACCATGCCAGTTTGATTTGCTGCTTAACTTTGTCTTCCAGAGAAGTGGCATCTGCCTCCTTCGCCGGACGGAAGCTTGAAATGCTTGAACAAAAAGCAAAGCCAGCACTCATCTGCCGATGTGTGTACTCTGCGGACGACATCCTGTAGCATCGGTCGGGGTACTGGAATTTCTAAAAGCTGGTGAACCTAAGCAGTTGCTTCCATACCAGGCCTCGAACCATGAACAGATAAGTGCACCTCCACGCGACCTCCTCTGACAACGCAAGCACTCACACGTCCACAACCGAATTCGCAAAGGAAAAGCGTAACCATGAACGTGAAAGCCTAGGACACCCGAAGCCACCAATAATCAGATACCGCCGCCGAGCAGGTGCCCGAGGCGGAACAGGTGCCCCTGGCAGCCAAGCTCCTTGCAATGCCGGGGCCTCAACATGGCATCTGGTACTGCTTAACATCATCAGCATCGTTAGCATTTCCAGCATCATCAGCGGCAGTATGATCTTCATGTTGTAGGTTTTGAATATAGTAAGTGTAGCATAGCCACAGTAAGGTTAGAACAGCAAGGGGAATCAGCCTCGTCCTTTCCCTTGCCGCCACCACCACCGTCTCCGTCATGAAAGTCGTGCCTTTTTCGTCATGCTGATCCTGTGGTGATGCTGCTTCGGTTGGTGGTTGTACAGTGGTTGCTGCGGCTGATGTCGCTTCCTCGCCTACACCTTCATCTCCTGGTGATGCTACTAGGACGACAACCACCAGCAGCACAAGAACAGCTCTTGCTGCTCTTGGTTCTGCGACTGCAGTTGCTAATACGATGACGATGACGACCACCACCGCCTAGCACCCCCACAGCCACTGCCGAGGCTACAACTCCAGTGCCGCAACTATAGCTACTGCTAGTGCCGACCATCATCACTTTCAACATCATCAGCAGCATTGCCATCGTCGTCGTTATGATCATTGCCATAGCCATCCTCATCCTCATTATCCTCACGCTCCTCATCATACTCACTGTCCTCGTCATTCTCAACGTCGACGCAATTATTATCAGCATCATCCTCCTACTGTTCGTCATCCACTACCATTCCCATCACCATTACCAGCATCATCATCGTCATCGGCATCGTCGTCGTCATCATCATCGTCAGCACCATCTCCGTCATCATTATCATCGTCATCATCATCATCAGCAGCACCATCATCATCATCATCGTTATCGTCATCGTCAACATCGTCATCGTCATCGTCATCATCGTCATCATCACCATCATCCTCATCATCACCATCATCATCATCATCATCACCATCTCCATCTCCATCTCCATCACCACCATCATCATCATCGTCATCTTCAACGTCAACAACAACATCATTGTCAGCACGACCAGCAACATCTCGCCATCATCGTGTTCACTGTCCTCACCGTCCTCATCGTCATCGTCGTCATCATCATCATCGTCACCGCCATCGTCATCATCGTCGTCATCGTCGCCAAACATCATCATGCTCATCATCAGCATCATCTTCTTCGTCATGGTTATAATTCCCGTCGTGTTGTGATGGTCGGCGCCGCCATCGTCATGGTGATGATGATGATGGTGATGAAGGTGTTGATGAGGATGACCGTGAACATGTTCATGATGGTGATTGTCATCATCACCATTATTGGGTTACTAACCGACGAAGCCCTCCAATCCGCCTTCCTGGATGCTGATCTTGATCGGTGCAGCTCGCAGCAGAACGGGGTTTTTGGGTTTCTGGGCCTCGAGGCTTGGACTTTGGGAGCTGTGGGGGGTGGCCATGAGTTCCGTGACTTGAGGTCCAACACGGTGGATGTGGTGGTCGCAGGGCATGGTGACGCCCAGGAAGCAGCAACTCGCCAGACCTAGCAGGTATCCGTCGAAGTCAGTTTTTGCCGTTCTGTTCAGTATTCATCTTGAGAGGAGGCTACTCGCAAGTAGCGAAGCAAGGCCCTCCCAGAGTTGCTCCGGGCCTACCAGACCGTGGCTCTGACCACAAATGCCGGGAGCCCTGGGATTGCCTATCCTGCTATCACTATGACATGTCAAGCATTGATAGCCGTAGTACGAATGATGGCAGTAAGCATGATGATGCTGACGGCACGGATAATGCCGTAGTACTGTAGTCTGGCCACCTGCAAAGATACGACACGGATGTTTGGTGGCACATTTCCCTCAATCTTCTTGAGCCCAGCCTGTGCCCTCGTTTGTCGGCCCTCCCACGGACGTCGTCACCAGGTGCCGATCGTTTCTTTGGGCCCGACCTTCGGCAGCTCGGCAAGATCAAGCCTGAACTAGTTACTACTTGCCCTGCCCATATGTCATCGGATTGTGCAGTGTGGAAAGGGTGGAACATCACCACGGCACCCCGAAAGAGGGGTGTCAGGAGGCCCCAGATTCCCCATGCTTCTGCGTTGGGCAAGCGCGCGACCTCAGCCCTGATCGGATTCTCCGGAGTGTGCAGTTTTTGAAGGTAGTAATAATATAATGAGAATAGTATAATAATATAATAATAGTATAATTAATAATATAAAAGATAATACCAATGATAATAGCGGGATACTGCCAGCCAGCATGTCCTGGGCAGATGCTGAGAAGAAAGCTGACACGGCTGTGCAGATGGCGGAGATTCGCCAGCAGGCGACTTGCTTGCTGGAGTTGGAGCATTCAGCAAATCTCGTGGGTGTCATGCGGTGCATATCATAGCGTTTTTACATGTGCACTTCACGAGGAAAACGTGCAGCACATGCTTCATCATTGCAACTTGCAGTTACAATGCGACAGTGGGCTTGAAGCCTCAAGCGCCAAATCCTTTGGAGCAGGCCCTGATGGGAGCTGGCAAGCGCAGCAGCATGTTCTTCGGCATCGGCACCAACAAGAGCCTTCGCAGAAGCCTAGAGGGAAAGTTTTGGACGTACAGTAGGGCATTCGAGCTCGCTGCAGGTGGGCCGTGGGTGACAACTGCAACAACCCTGAAGACTTTAGCACTGGCAGTGCTAATAAGGCGACTATTAAATAATACGGATGGTCACCATCCTTGAGTGCTTCACGAGGACACCCCCACAGGCGTTAGAGACGCCTTTTGCCGTGTTCGTTTGCAACGTCGTTTAATCCAAGGACTTCGGGTGATCCAAACAAGAAGGGCAAGGCAGCGACGGGAAAGTTGTCCATCAACCTTTGCACTCTGACTAGTGGTATTTCCTGCGGCTGCTACTTGGTTATAACGTGGCGTTGTTCTTGTTGCTCGGAGTCTTCCCGTGCCTTCTTTGACAGATATACTTCTGACCCCGGTGGGCGACCGCGGTAGCAATTGGCTCTCCGAGACAACTGAGTGGCAAAAAATAGGTACGTGCGGTGCTCGAACTGGCAGCATATGGAGGATTCGTTCGAAATCACGGCCCCTTGTAGGGTGATCCAGCTAATACACTGCACTGGTGACGACGACTATCAAAGAGGGCATCCTACAAAAAAGCTAATTTTGCAAACAACGCCTTGCATTGAAGCCTAAAGCTCCGCACCGTTGAACTCCACTGCAGATGCTGACCTCTGCACTGTCAGTCTCAGGCAGTGTCAGTCTCAGGTACAGTCCATTCCCATACTGTGGAGTCTATTCTGTAGATGTCTTCTATGTCGCGCTTCTCAATTTCCAGGCACCGGGCCCTAAACCTGGAGCCCTGCAACG